ATATATATATATATATATATATATATATATATATATATATATATATATATATATATATATAGAAGAGGATCCATTAAAAGTAAGTTGTTTGTGTCAACTCTGTTTTCTATTTTCTCTGTATTCACGTTGTGTCTCTCGGCAACAAGAAACAAGCTCATTCTTTCTTCAGAAATACTCGCGTTTTGTAGCAAAGTTTAACGACTGGGTGGATCTGGTCGTTAAATATTTTTGCCATTTCCTTCGAAATGGGAATGAAAGCAACAAAACGTGTGTGTTGCACCTAACTTTTTCCATTTCAAGTTTTTATTTTATTTTATTTGTCTGCATCTTTTTCTGGTAGATTAGTGAAAGTTTCTCCAGCATCTGCTTGTGCTGAATGAGTGAGTGAAGCCTGCTTTCCTGTCCCGCAGATAATGAACACATCTACATGGAGTTAGACCAGAAGCTGTCTAAGTACTGCCCCAAAGAATGGAAGAGAGAAGCCAGCAAGGTGAGAAGAAACGTTATGCGACATTTAGCTCAGAATCGACTCGTTTAAATAAATATAGAAAATGCGATTTCAGCACTGTTTTCACTCACACTGGCAAGAAAAAAGTAAGACGTAGATGAGAAGACGACAATTGATAGTTCCCAAACTTCTAATGTGCAAAAATCACACGTTTGTCAGCAAAACTTTGCATAGACTCTGCAGTTTGTTTGGGTTTTGAGGTGTTCGTAAATACTAGCACAAAGATTTCACGTCTCAAGCATTCATGCTCTATCTTGTTTACGACGTTTATCTGCATTACATAACGCCATGAAATGGAAGTAATGCACTCATGTGGTGACTTGGCTCTGTTGTTGCTGGGGTTTTTTTTAAACCATGCCTGTTATTGAAGGATTTGACTGGTCGGAAAATTACAGTAAACATTACAACAATAGAGGATCTTTAAGGATGTCTGGTACATTGTTTGATTAGAGACCAAAGTTGCAATTTTTGTTACATTTCCACTTGGTGCGGTTTTTCTTTTCCGCTGCACTGTGTCACACGAACCAAACCCTTTGAAAAACTAATTCCCCTCCTGGCCTGTGGTGGCGCTGTAACAAGAACCACTGAAGGAAACGATACGAACACCTCAAAGGAAGACATCAGCGCAACTTCCTTCTTCACGAAATGTAAACAAAAATGGAGAAGCGTCAAACTTTAGTGGTCAGTGGTTTTTTGATTGTATTTACCCAGAATGCCCTGCAGTAATAGTCCACTTCCCACCTTTGAAACAGTCTCCAGTCTGCTTAGCATTAACATGAGTATGCGAACTGCACCACAGTTTGCTTCAACAGAACTGAGACTGAACTGAGGTTTTTAAGCAAATTGCTTAAAAACTGATTTTGGTCCGTTTGATTACGCATTAAAAAAATGAGCCGGACTTTCCATGGAGCCGAACTATAGTTCAATTTAGAACCAATATTTTGTTGCACTTTCAGCCTTTCTCCCACGGTGCAGTGATTGATGTGTTTCCTCTTGTGCGTTTCCAGGGTATTGATCAGTTTGGGCCTCCGATGATCATTCACTTCAGAGCTCAGTATTATGTGGAGAACGGGAGATTAATCAGGTCAGTAAAGATTTGTGAGCCTTGTTTTCCTAATTCACCAACATTCACAGTAATGTCAGAAACCTGAGCTAACCGCGCCGCGCCCTGTGTGTCGTGCAGCGACCGGGTAGCCAGGTACTACTACTACTGGCACCTGAGGAAGCAGGTGCTGCTCTCACAGTGCATCCAAAGAGAGGAGGCCTACTTCCTCCTGGCAGCCTTCGCTCTCCAAGCCGACCTCGGGAATTTCAAACGCAACAAGCACTTTGGGAAGTACTTTGAACCCGAGGCCTACTTCCCCCAATGGGTGAGTGGGACACACCAACAGCATGTAGATGGTCTTCAGTTCACATCACACCTTCTTTAATTTAAATAATAATGTAGGAAATGCAGTATGTTCTTCTGTTTAGATGTTTCACAACACATTCTTTCAGATTTTGTTCCCAAATCCTGGTGTATGTTAATTGTATTTATTAGGATAGATAAATAAAAAAAAAGTAGTGCATAATGGGGAAACTGCACACGACTGCAGATTTTTTGAGTTGGTTACTTTAGTAGAGCGACTTTCACTGAAGTTTACAGCCACAAGTCTTTTTGATCATTTTTCCACGTGTTGCACACTTAGACTTTTTTTTTTCGTTCCTCTTTGCAAAAGAGCTCAAATTCAGTCACACCGAATGTGAGTTTGAACACACATTCTCTTGTATTTAGATCCGAACTTTGACTGGGCCATTCTAACACATAGATATGCTTCAACCTAAACCACTCTGTTGTGGCTCCGCCTGCAGAAACTTTTTATAAATAAATAAATAAATACATTTTTCATCAAAATATCCAGGCAAGGCCACTAAACATTTTACAGGGGAACAGCTAAAAAATTATAATAATATAATATAATAATTTAATTTTTTTATTTTATTTATTTGTTTATTAGGTTTAACATTTATGTCTTCATTGGAGAAGCTTTCTATGACATGAACATGATTATAATAGAGGCCAATTTGGTATTCAGTATTTTCAAAGAAGGGCCCATGGCACCCCGAGCCCACCCCTTGGGGTCGCCACTGACTTCATGGTGCTTTTTCTTCACTAATGTTCTCTGAGAAACCTTCGAGGCCTTCACAAAACAGATGTATTTATAACGAGATTAAATCACACACACAGTTTTACACCGTTAGTGTCCTGACCCCAAGAGTGGACAGTCCTGGATTCGAGGCAAACTATCTACATATGACGCTGATAAAACTCTAAAACACTATTACATACGTTTTAGCATGCGGCCCCATGCAAACTGGGAGTTCTAGTTTATTTTTGTCCCTGAAAGTGGCACACAGAGTTCCTTAAGATGACTATTCTGGTAACATCGGCCTTCTGTCGGCCACACCCGTCTGATTGCCCTCCACTTCCTGTGATTAGCCCCCCTGCCTCTTTATCACAGCACAAACCGGTGCCTACAGGAAATTGTTGGAATGTCAACAATGTACGTTTTCCCCAAAGCAAATCTCACGCAGATTTAGCCGCCGCTTACGGAGACGACTTAGTTACTGAATCGGCTGGAAGCTCACCGGCCGCGCTTCCGGTCAGCGTTTCCGGTCAGTGTTTCCGGCCAGCGCTCAGGCTGTCCTCTCTGGCGTCTGTTTGCCAGGCGGCTTCGGCACCTACGTCGCCTTCGCTCGCCGCAGCCTGACGGCTCCCTCTGCCTCTCCTCCTGCTCAGGTGATAGCCAAGCGTGGCCGGGAGTACATCCTGAGGCACATCCCCAACATGCACAAGGACCAGTTTGCACTCACCGCCTCAGAGGCGCACCTCAAGTACATAAAGGAGTGCGCTCAGCTCGACGACGTCACGGTGCACTACTACAGGCTGTACAAGGTGAGAAAAGCTCCGGCAGGATTTCACGTTCTGTTTCATTCCCTCCTCATCTGTTTTCCTCCCCATCAACAGGATAAGAAGGAAGTTGAGGCGTCGCTCACACTGGGTCTGACCTTACGTGGAATACAGATATTTCAGGTAAAGTCTCTTCCTTACCAATAAGAGGCTGAATTGTGCTGATTTTAGGGTCTCAAAACAATTTAGCGTCATTCTCTGCAAGCATGACATGCGAGGATGTCTTTGGTCTCACAAAAGTATTCATAGTTTTTTAACTTTTCCACATTTTGCCACAATACACTGCAAAAACCCCAAATCTTAAGTATTTTTGTGTAGTTTTTAATGCAAAAAT